GGAGGTTTATTTTAGTTTGTGGTTTTTATTTTATATGGAGGGCCCATTGAATCTTAGAATCTTATATTGTTTCTGAATGGTATAGTCCCCCAGTGAGACAGTGGTAAATTTACAGATTTACAGTACTAAAATACGGGGTTTAGTTTCCCATGGTGGACCCAGCAGATAGCCCACTATGACTTTCCTCTAAAACAAACAAACTGAAGTGTTTTTTTATTTGATATTTTGATGTGCTTTTTGTTAAAGGAGTTGTCTTATTTTTATTGTGTGATTTTTTATCTTGTAATTTATCTTTTTTTGTTTGAACGTTATTTCTTTCTTTTACTGTGTGTGTGTGTTACAGTATGAGTGTTTTAAAGGGACGAAAGTAAGTTACTCTGTTAACTAATGTGTTGACTTTTTAATTGAATTAACCTTTGATGTTAATGATGACTCATTAGTATGCACGTATATATGTTTTCTACCCTCTTACTTAATATATAAATTTTCGGAGTTTTTAAACATATAGTGAATCTGTTCTAACAGAAAAGGTGTCGGTCAAGGAAGTCGCCAAGTTACATTTGTCTTAGCTGCCTATTGTACCAGGCCATTCATCTAGGGTATCACATGCAGCGTTACAGTCATAATACCCATGGGCAAATCAGTTACCTCAAGAGAATGATAAAAAAAAACAAAGGAAACTAAAAGGAAAGCAACTTAACGACCTTCTTGGCCACGTATTATAAGAAAACTGTACGTATTAGAATAACTGACAATTTTCGAATAATATATTAAAATAACAAGGTAAAAGTCGCATGGTAAAATGTTATGGTTAAATGTATAGATTCGTGCTAAGTGAGCCATCTAGAATAAAATGTTTACATCACACACACTTTCATACAAAGCTAAATGCATATTAAACAAACTTGTAACTAATAATTCCAAATACAAAATAAAAATAAGAAAATATTTATTTGTATCATACTTCTTAAACTTGTCACAAGAAAAAAAAATTAAATTATAAAAATGGTTTGCTACGTTTTTGATGATTACAAATAAATAAATGTTACGTCTCTGGTCGTTTGTTAATTTCCCATATAATTTCTTTCCAAGAAACTTCAGCGATACAAGTCTTTTCTTAAATA